TCTCCGAGGGCGGGGAAGACGATAGCGGGAAAGAGGGTGAATCGGAAGGAGCGGTAGCGCGAGTGATCGTGAATGAACACGACGGAGCGAAAGAGTGCGTGCATGTGTGCGTGAGTGTGTTCGAGCGCGAACAAGAGAGAGAGGGAGAGAGAAACGGAAAGCTCACGGGGCAAATGGTGGCGAAATGGGACGAGCGAGGACGAAAAGGGGCTCGAGGAATAGCGAAACGAGAAACAAAAAAGAGAGGGGAGAAAAAGTGCCAAATACGCGAGACACACGCGCAACGTATTTTTGTAAATCTGGTTTCATACGTAAGGCTAGAGTCGTGCGGCGAGACGTCGAACTGCCCGAACTGCCGATTTTATATAAGATGACGTTTACACGCAGCAGCTACGAAGACGCGTACATCTCTATACACGCACGCACACGTTACATACACGTACAGACACACACGCATACGCGCGCGCACACACACATACACACACGCGCATACATACCGAGGATATTCACTCATACACACGCACGCGCGCGTGACGCGAATCGCGAAACGAGCACGTAAACAATTTATACGTAAATGAAACGAGTCAAACGAGAGGGAGAGAAATAAGAAGGAAGAAAGGAGGAAGAGAGGAAAACGCACGCGTGCGTTTTCGCATCCCTTTGGCGTGCACACGTGTACATAGGTATATAGAAATGATACATCTATTACATTGCGTAGGTATATACTCGACGATCTCAGCGTATGAGCACAGCGCGATATTCATCCGCATTCTCGACACATCGTGTAAAATCATGGCGGTCGCGCTCAGCACAGGCCACTCGCACAACCGAGCGCATCGTTGAAGAAAAAAAAAAAGATAAAGCGAAACAGGGGGAGCTAGCGTAACCCACACGACGAAGGAGGGTTCTTCGGCCAGAGAATTGCTAGCAGCGATAAAGAACGAGTCGTCGAGCCGGAGATTATTATGCCAGGAAGCGTGCGGTAACAGAGTTGAAAAGGGAAAAAGAAGAAGAAGGAAGAGAACTGAAAATTTTCCTCGTTTTTCCTCTTTCGTTCGATCGTCGAACGTGGCAACGGTGTGCTGGCGGACGGATTTTACAGCCTCGTCGACAGTTTTTTAATTTATTTATCTTCTCGATTGTTCTGGACCAGAGCGCGTAGCTCGCTCGCTCGCTCGCTGTTGTCGAGACGAATCGTTCGATCGGACGCGCCGTTGCGACGAGGATATTCGAATCGATCGAACGTTGGCCACTGGCAATTCCTTCGTCGTGCGTGTTCTCGACGAAACCTCGGGAGAGAATCGAGAGGATCGCGAGCGGAAGAACTCGCAAACAACTGCCAACTAAAGGAACCTCTGACTAATTCAAGCGTTATCGATGAATCCAATCGGTTACCGAGAAACAGGACAACGAATGGTCGTGGAAGGATCCGATGCCAGGATGCGCCAACTACGAGGAGAATTGTTTCGATGTTCCGGTGCCAATCGAGATTTCGGCTCTTCCGCCATTCTTTTTTCGGTTCGGGATATTTTGGCGAGCTACTCTTCCTTGGAACGAACGCTCCGACATCGATCAACTTTCGTCGAGACGGAGTATCTATCTTCCGTCGATTTCCTTCTCGAATATTAGAAGAAAGCCGCCGTTTCAGTTTGTTCTACCTTCGTCGAGCCAAGGGATCAGAGTTTACGGAGGACCAACGACTGCCATTCCCCGGTGCGTTTCGCGAACGTCCCGCAACACCAGACGCGCGTTCTCTTCTTCTTGGCCGGATCTCTCTTAGGTGAGTTTAAAGAATCGAGCACACCGTGAAACGGCCGCAGAAGGAACGCGCTGCGATTAGTCGAAAGGATGACGGTAGTCCGAAAACGAAGGAATTTTTGTTAAAAAATTTACGAGGAAGATGAACAACGGAATAAGTACTCCGTTTTTCCCTTGTTGCGTGTAAACTCGAAAGGCTTTCGTCCTCTAAATGCAAATTCGAAAGTATAAAAATTTATGAAAAGAACCCTGGCACCGTAAACAGTTTCGTTTTGACCCTCTAAATGTAATCTCGAAACTATGGAAATTTATAGGGAAGAATAATTTTCGGTGCAGCGGAACCAGCTTGAAAAGCAGGAAGAATAATATCGTCGCAAGAATACGCAGCGATGGGTCGGAGAGGGTGCAGCGAGTTTCGTTTTTGTTCTTTAAATGCAAATTTCGAACTATAAAAATTTATGAACAGGATCAAGGATCTTGGTATCTCGAACGGTTTCAATTTTTCGTACGAACCCGAAACTACAGAAATTTACGGAGAGAAGGTAACTTTCGACCGGAAGAAGATCGGTTCGGAGAAAGGGAAGAAGAAGAGGAACGTGTAGCGGCTAGGTTTTTTATATTTTAATTAAAGTTGAAACCATAGAAATTCACGAGGCAGAAGAATTTTGAAGGAAGAACGTTTTAAGGAGTTTTACAAGGGTAATTTATACGTAAACTCGGTGTATCGATGCTTTCGTGCCTCGTCAGACCCTCGAAGAAGAGTTCTACCGTTCCCAAAACCTCTCGTCGGTCTTTCAAAGTACCCGAAACTCCCGGGAGCCTTACGTTTTCACCGGAACTCGCCGTAACTCGTTCAGTCTTTCAAGAATATCGATCATTTTCATGTTCAAGCGACGCTCAAAGCGGCTCGAACGTTCGTTCATCGATGGAATCCTTCCTCGAACGCCCGTCAAACTGGCCACGTGCACGATTACGCGCTCGTACACGCGCGAGCGAGTGGCCGACCGCGTACAACTCGTGCCACAGAGACGTTTCTACTCCTCGTTGTCGGAGTCGCGACGAAGGGGAACCAGGACAACCCGCGCCCCTTCCGAGCGGTATAATAATCAATTTATTTGCTCACGTAAAGTTAACGGTATAATTATATATTTAATATGTGCATATAGGTATAAACGGGAGAGAATTAATTACACGAGAGAACTAATCAATCGCATAGCCGAGAACGAAACACTCGTCGAGTCCGTGGCGGTGGTGGTTGACGGTGGTGTGGTAGTGGTGGTGCTGGTGGTGGTGGTGATGGTGGTTGCTAATGGTGTGGTGTGTGGAACGTATTGTTACGCTGATCCAGAGGAACACGTGGCTGCGTGAAGTTTGGGTGTCGGGAAACGCGATGATCCGCCCTGATGCAACGAGATATACGTGTTTTCCAAAATTCATGGGGGTGGAAGAGGAGATAGAGAGTGCAACCGGCGTGTTTTCGAGTTTGCTTTTTAGACTGGCGTACCGCTGCAGAGATTAACTTCTCTACGAGAGTATTGGACATTCAGGGATGTTTTTTGTTTGAAACGGTGCTGTTGGAAAATTGGACAGGTTAGTTCAAAATTCAATTCGTTTTGTATTTTGTACGTCGCGCGGTGCGAACAGACGACTAACTTGTTTCGATTTCAATTTTATAATTTGCGCACGCTTAAACGATTGTCGACAAAAGGAACAACGAATTGATTGGTGGTTCTGCGTTTGCGTTATGTTCGCGGTATCGAATAATCCGGTGAAGTCGAAGTTCTGTTCGTGGATATCGCGAAGTAGAATTTTCCGTGTGTGTCGAAGGAAATTGTTGCTGGCGCGTTGTACCGCTCCGCGTTGTTTACTGACCGTATCTCCAACTTCCTGTTCCCGGTTATTAATTTACGACACGGTTTAAATCAGACTTCAAATAGGAATCGGCCACGCTTTCTGACGTTATTACGAGAACGTCACGCGGCAGCATAATGTACGGTGTCGCGTCCAAAGTAGAAACTGGGTCACGCGCTTGGAACTGCGCTCATCTCGGAACAATTTTTCCCAACAAATTGTAGAACCAAAAGAAAACAAAGTTCGTTCGTATCTACCCGTTCGTCGATAAATCTCAATCGAAATTGCAATTTTGTACCCGCTCCTCCTATCTCGGTTTTTAAAGAATTATATCCTCGGAGTTAAAAGGAACGAACTATTGTTGCTTAGTTTAATTACTGCTTTAAACGAAAATGGCACGTTATACAGTGGCTCGACGAGTTAATTGCAACGATACGAATAATTGGTCCTTAGTCGAGTTTATAATTTTGCTGTCCGAATGGAAGTAGTATAAATCAACCTTTAAACGGCGAGCGACACCCTGACGAATATTCTCGGCAAAAGAGAAACGCGACAAGGTTAACCGTAACGATACATTAAATTAACTTGGCTCGTGCGAAATTCGGTCGTTACCGTTAAAGAATTAGCCTGCATTAATTACCGCGAAACAGTTTAATTTGCCTCGACGAGTCTAACTTTTCGCGCATCACGAAATTCTCTTGGCATTCGAGTTCCCCGGTAGAAGTCCGATAATAATTCTCCTGGAAAATATTAAATGTTCACCTACCGAAAGATAATTATTAATCCGTTATTCGAAAGAAAAAGGAGAGACGAATTTATATTTCGTGGCAAAGTTAATCGATGCAGCGTTTGAACGAGCCCCTTTCT